TGACGGGGCCTCGCAGGTTTCGGGTCAGCTGAGTAAGGTGGGGAGCTCTCCAGAGATCGGGCAGACCTGCCGATGCTGAATTCTGATTTTATACGTCAGAGTTGAGTAGCTTCCCAGTGAGGAGGCAGTGCACGTAGAGTTATGTAGGGTTCCAAATTTAATTTCTTCAGATCACCGAATGCATGAGCCTTCACCGTTGTGGTGAATTTCTAATGTAACTTGATCCAGCCTTCTAGAATTTTGCCTTCTATCTGATGGCTGAACATTTTCAAATGAAACATTATTCTCTAGAATTTCCTGGTGTGTGTTTGCTTTAGGGGAAGAGTATATAGTCCAGAACTTACTCATGTGACACCGTAGGCAATTTTGGTTTTGCACCTTGCATCCCATGCGCCAGGAGGATAATGCTTCACATTATGTTAAAAAGTCATCCTTGTAGCCCTGGCTGGTGTGGCTCAGTGGATTAAGGTTGTCAGTTCGATTCCGGATCAGGGCACATGCCTGGGTTGTGGGTCAGGTCCCCTATCGGGGTTGTGAGAGAGGCAGCCAGTCGATGTACCTCTCATGCATGGATGTTTCTCTCCCTCTCTTTCTCCCTCCCTTCCCCTCTCTCTAAAAATAAATAAAATCTTTAAAAAATTTCATCATTGTGGCTGTCATTTTTCTATATGGTAGCTATTTTACTAGCAAACAAGTTTTATAGATATTATTTAATGGTGAATCATAATTTCCTCAGATTGGGGTTCTGTGCTGTAGACTTATACTTGTCGCTGGCATAGGTAAAATTGAAATGGAAAAAAACCCTGCATTCCAGTTTGACTTTTCCTTTTCTCTAAGTGCCATGGAAGTCTGTATACCACTTTCATTTGTGCTTGAGTGAAATAGTGGGTATTAAGGGCTTTTAAAAGAGTAAGTTATTCTTATTATGCCAGTTTTGGACTTAGGAAATAAATACAGGAGGAGGAGCACTTTTAGCATCATGATTCTTAGGTTTTAATCTGGGCTCTAGAGCTAATTTAGTTGTGTGGCCTCAGGTAGACGACTTTACACCTACGGTCCCTGCGTCTCTGTAAACTGAGAGGCATGGCTTGGGGCGCCTGGGCCTAGCAGAGTGGTGCCTAAGGGGCAGGAGACTCAGTCTCAGCGCGGCGCGGCACAGGCCTGCACGTGAGGGTGCCGGCCGCATCCTAGCCCCGGGGAAGGACAGGGATTAATTCACAGTTCTTTTGGCAAGAACCTTAATGCAGTAGATAATTGCTGTTTTCCTTCTGTTTCGTTTCATTTTCTTCATCTTTGTGTGCGTGCATTTCTTTTCCTTATATAGAAGCATACAGTTTTGTTCTGCGCTTCATTATGTTCTTTGTCATTGTTTCCATTTCACTTTCCTTGTGTTTCATTCCTGTATCTTTCTTGTTTAGAGCAAGTGGAGCACGCAGCTGGCAGTAGCCTCTGTGTAGGACCCTTCAGGAACCTGATGGTAAGTGCACACGTGTACTTACCAGGCTCCCGGTGGGCTCTGCCGCACCGGTTCTCACAGAGAGAAGCCAGCAAGTCCCTTTCCCCATCGCAAAAGCCGTCGTTCAGGTTATTTTTGGTTATAGATTTGTTTTTTAATTTTAATTTGATTATATATAGACCTGAAACCAAATACCAGGGAAAAAGTGGACTGATTTAAGGAAATGGAACTGTTCCCCCACCTGTTACTGCGCCGTTTGGCTTGGTGAGTGACACCAGGTGCGCCTCAGAGTGAGTCAGGACACCCAGGCCCTGATTTCTGGTCCATCAGAGACTGAGTAGTCCCTGCAGGGCACTGCCTTTGGGTTCTCTTGCAAAATAGCAGGTAGGGCAGGTGATTTCGATAGTTCCTTCACCTCCAGTCTACAGTCCTGATGGGAAGCAGCTCGAGTGTTCGATGTTCTGATAAAGATTGAGAGATTCATTCCATATATCAGATCATTTCAGTTCCATGAATGACTGATGATATTAGATTCATGATTGATGCATTTCCATCATAAAACCAGCTTTTGTCAGTGTTCAGTGAAAGGTACTAAGGAGGTAAATTTAATCGTTACATTTCTTTGTTTTCAGATTCAAATACTTTTAAATTTTCTAATAAATGTATAAGTTGCAGAACCCCAGGTCTTTAGCGACCCATATTCTATTGGTTTAGCCTTGTGGTTCTTAACTTGGGGAGCACCCCTCCCCCCATTCTAGGGACAATTGACCACATCTGGAGACTTTTGTTTGTCACACTAGAAGGGCGGTAGTGACACCGGCACCTAATGGGTGAAGGTCAGCGATGTGGCTAAGCAGCCTCCGATGGCTTGGACAGCCCCGCAGCAGAGCAGGGCCGGGCCAGGTGACTCACGGCTGCGGTGGGGACGCCCTGGCCTCCAGCCTGAGCGGCCGGAGCGGGGATGCTCTTGGTAACCCTCTGAATAGGTTGCAGATGTCCCTACCACAAGTAGCCTCCCCTCACAGGGCATCATGGTCTCCTGGTGATGGTTTTGAAAGAGGGCGCCTGGGGATGGGAGGGACAGTTAGGTTTGGAAAGCCCAAAAATAGGCATCTGACATTCAGTATCAGGTGGGCAGAGCATAAAACTTCCAATAGTAGTTTTACCTTTCAGATAGTCATGTGGTCTCCTTCTGAGTAAGGAGTGGTAAGGAATGGTATTATTAATAAGTTGTGTTTTGCTTTATTATACATCTAGAAATCTCAATACTCTGTTTACATTTAGGCCAGTTTATTTATTTATTTATTTATCCACTTGCAGACTAGCCTCTATAGTACTTGAGAGGTTGCAGAAAGTCTTTGGATTGGTTTTGCAAGGGATTGTATTACAATAAATTGACATTTGTATTTCTATTAAATTTTACAATGTGATTTTTTTTAAAAAAATGCATGTAAGGATTGTCTGTAAGAGGGAAGATTTGGACCATGCTTCCGTTTTTACGTATTTCGAAAGCTTATACCTGTAGAGGGTAGAAGTAAGAGGCCTATTTGAAGTACATGAGGCAGCTCTCATGTCTTATAACAAACTGCTGATTTTGATCCGGGGAAAACCTCTCCAAATAGAACTTCTGAACAAAGTGTCTAAGGGCAGGCAGGGCCCCTGACGTGCATCCCATGTGAGACATGACCGGCAGAGCTAGAGCAGTTAATGTTAGTAGCCAGCCACCGATCTTCGCATTCTTCGCTGCCAGTAATCTGATAGGGACTGGGCGCATGTCTTCGTGAGGATAAGACACTGGTTGAAAGGTTAGAATCTAAATTCCCTTAAGCACAACTGGATTCCTCAGGAGCCATTGTCATCGTCAGACACTGGCCAGTGCTATTGCTGTTGCCAGGAAGAGGACTTGAAAGAGGAGGTGACTTTTTGCAGTGGTGACGTGTTTTTGTGGCCTCGCCCCTTGCAGAGTGGATTGGTATATAATTCTTCCACCTGGGGACGTGAATCTGCCTTCCCCCCCACCCCAGACTCTGTTTCTGTTCTCACCAGGATGCGGTTCCAGGAAGTTCTGTTTTCAGCTGCCTTTGGAATGAACAGATTGGCTCGTTTTCAGAAATTCGTTTGAGTGAACTCATACACAGTTGCCAAAAACTTCGGTTTTCTTACTGAAAAATGAGAAATTTAAAATGGTATTTTAGAATTTCCTTTTTAAGGCTAGCATTAGAAGGCTGATTCTTAAGTATTTTGTACTTTTTTCCTTGTTGAATCTCTTAAATATTTCTCAAAATCTGGTTGTATTTTTTTAGAATTAATATTTGCTTTGTATTATAATTGATGTTTTTATTTTTAACCATTATGATCTTTGCAGTGATATTTGGTGTCTCTGATCTTAATTTTATGATATCTACATTTTAGTTAATTATGCTGCTCTATAGTGATTCTCTGTTAGGGAAAATACCATTTTCCAGTATCCGCCTGTGGTTTGTAGTTTGTCATTTTACTAACTCGGAGATGAAGGGGGCCAGAGGCTTGTTGTGAAAAGCTTCGGGGGTTGTGTAAGGCCTGGTTTTGGAGAACGTTGCAGAAATAGAAGGAGATTGTTTGGGCAAGATGATAGGATCCTATTCTGAATCTGGAAATTGAAAAATAAAAGCTACCAGGCATAAGAAACTTAGAATTTAAAAAATGGCAAAGAAGGGTCGGCAGATTCTGGTTAAACCCTAAAATGACTGAACTTCTGAACCTCCAGGAGTAGTAACTTCTGTCAAGAATTGTTCGTCCTCACTGAGAGCCCTGGTGCCTTGAGTTCACTGTTCCAGCTTGTCAGGAATGGGCTGCATTTTCCTCTTGTGTTCCGAATTATGGCATCACTTGGAATTCAGCGACTGTTTCCTGGATTCCAGCCTCTGAACTATTCATGAAATATCAGATTGTTCGGGACCTCAAGTGGAGTCCCTCAGGCCCCTCAGCGTGCCTTGCCCTGCCAGCCGACAGTGAATTATTCATAATTACTCTCTGCTTGATATTTGAGCCATTGTACATGTGTATTCCTTGCAACTCAGCAGAATCTCTGCTTCTGTTGTTCTACTTTGACAGTTATATTTATATCTTAATTAAAAGGGCCCCACGTTGTCCCGTATTGTTTTCCCTAATGCGCTTCTTATCAATAACCAGGCTTCTGCCAGTCCCTCTCATGTGTGTGGTATTAAAACTTAGTGCTATTACCTAATTTTTCTGTGACATCAATATTGTTAACTTTTCTAGAATATGTTCTCTTACTAGTTTGATAGTTGTTACAGCTATGAGGGAACTAATGCCCAAGATTCTAAAAAATACAGATTTATGAGTTTTTATTTTTCTCTGACATGACTTAAAAGTATTTGTATTTATCATGTATTCCTTTCTTTAGGAATGTGAAACAGTAGTTGCCTAGAAATAGACAGTTTGCTGTGATTGGATTAGCAGTTGTCTTCTTCAAGGACTCAGGGTAATAGTAAAAGAATGAATGAATGAATGAACAAATAAATAAATAAATAATGTGTTTCAGGGAAGAAAAAACCCCAGGAAAATAAAAACAAAGGAAACAAAACTGAAGACCTGCAGCTGAAGACAAGCGAGCCAGATTCCGCCTCTGCAAGTATGAGAGATTCTGCAGACGGTGAGCTGGGGGTGTACTCGTATGATTTGGGGGTCTGGTACCCAATTGCTAGGGCTGTGCATCCCCTTGGACTCGCCTTCTGGGGACCATTCAAGAGCTCTACAGGTGATCAACTAGCAGGAAGGCCCTCAAGCCTTCCACATACCACCTCCCCTTCAAAAAACGATTAAAGGCCTTCCTTGTTAAAAATGAAATTATGCCCTGGTTAAAGGAAGATGAAACATTCTGTATGATTGCATTTATAAATAATTTACAAAGCTCAAAACCATCAAAAAAAACTGGCAGAAGTCAGACTGGCAGGGGGACCGGTGCAGTGCTACTCTGTCACCCACGTGGGATGGGCACGTCGGTATCTTTATCTTGTGAGCATTTCATCTTGCTCTGTGCTTACAAGTTACATACTTTAGGCGTGTTTTATAGTTCAGTGACCCTTGATTTTCTATTGCAGAATGAAAAATGTACAGAAGGAAAAGTGGGTTTTTTGGTTAGAATTTAAATTCCTATTTTATCTCTCTCCCCACCAAACTTTTTTTTATGGTTTCTTCTGAGGATTAATGTACTCGGCCCTCCGTGCTGTCAGAGTTCAGAGAGGCATGGACTGAAGGGTGGTCAGAAAGCCGGGTTGCTCAGCTGAGCCACCACAATGAGACTGTTGCTGCTGTGGAGGAGGGAGCTCTGTCTTAATTTATGTGGCCGGTTTATGCAAAGACAAAAGCTTGCTCAAGAGTCGTTCATAGTGACCCAAAGAGGCAAATTTCAAAACGGAGGCCCATGACTCTTTCAGGAAACATTTGTAGAGGAAGAAAATTCATCAAAATATTTTGGATTCCTTTGAAGCCATTTTATTAGCACTTTTGTGGCGATGACATTCATAAAGGATTATAATTTCTTGTGGCATTGGATGAAGCAAGAATAGACAAGCTTATTTCCCAGAACCTTATAAAACTAGGTTCTGCCTACTGATAGCATATTTGCTAAGACATTTATTTGAACAACAACAATACTAAAGAACTGCACTACTTTTAGTGGCAGAATTAGAAAAGAAAATCCAGCAGCTCTGTCTTACCTTCAAAAAATTGAAGACAGTTATCTTTTTTTTTTTTTTTTTTTCCTGAGAGAACATCACGTCCCATGGAAAAAGAAACTTAGTATTTACTTTTTTGTGGAATAGCTGGTTAAAGTGATTGGTTCTGTACAGCGTAGTGGTTGGCCTTTCCTGCGTGTTCTGCGTCTCCTTAAAAAATGGTCTGAGCAAACAGCCCAGGCTCTTCTGTGTTCCCTAAACCTCTGTTTATGTTCAGAGCTCAGCAAAGCTCATGGAGTGTGTGGACACACTTTGGTGTGGGCCTTATTAGTGAGCAGAGCTCTGCATGTTTTGGTTCACATTATTTTGGACAGTTTTAAATCTGGAATTGTTTACCAGTCACAGAGAAAGGAAAGATTTTTTTTTTTTTTTTTTTTTTTGTTCATTAAAAGAAGCCACAAATTTTGGCCAAAAATGAACTCTGTAAAGAAATTTTTGAGCCTTAGAGTTGTTTTTTTCATTTTCTGTTGTCTCATTCCAACATTTTTTTTTAGCAACATGGTGAGTCTGTGTTGAACATGTATTTGAAAACGGAGTTCGTTCCTAATTTGAAATACATTACCACCATCAAATGACTGGGTTCTCAGTACGTGGAAAACTCAGGGAATTTATGAAATTTGTCTGGGGAAAGAAGGCTGGTTTCTGTTTAGAGACAGAAGCTTCATTGATCATAAGTATAGTAACAGATGGGTAAAAGTAAGACCGATTTTCCTAGGACACAGCAAGGTGGCTAGGGCTGAACGATTGAGTTTGTATTAATCTCTTGCATTTGCAGAGCTTGGAACAGTTGGCGTTTTTAGCCCCTTCCTTTCCCCTGTTTCTAGATAGTCACCAGATCTGTGACAGGCCTCTTCTATCTTGACAGTGTGGTCACCTTTTTCCTATCCCTTCTAGCGCCACTGCATCCCTGTTCATCTTCTGCGTCAGTGATGTCTTCTCCCAGTCCCTTAATCCACAGGGTGGCCCAATCTCCCAAATTGCATTCTCCTGCTTTAAAGTAGTTTAATGGATTTCCATTGCCCCCAGGTAAGTCCAGAATAATTCACAATGTGCTACGTGTCTTGATTCCTCCTGTTGCTTTTCCGTTTCTATCCGTGACCTTCAGGTTCGACCTCCTCAGTCCTTCATCTAAGGACCCTTCCCTGAATAACTAAGCCACACTAGATGTCCCTCCATTGTGCTTCTGTAACAGCACACACTCCCTGTGGATAGCCATTAATTTGCCCTACTGATGTTGCTGCTTACTTGCATGTAGCTCCTATTCAGGTGAAGCTCTGTAAGGGTAAGGATCTTGACAGTCTTGTTCGCATAGTACTGGCACGAACTCAGTATTTGTCTAGTGAATGGGGGGAGAGCCAGCTAACAGCCAGGACAGGTCCCAGTAGCTCCGCCTCCGCCACAGAGCCTTTCTGACCTCCCAGGTGTACACAGGACAAGAGGCCTAGCTGAATGGAGACGCGGGCAGTAGTGTAGAGAAGGGGGCTTCGGCGTCAGCATTAAAGGCACTGTGGCATCTCCTGCCTTAGGCTCCCCTGCTGTCCCTATGTTTTCTTTCAACTGCTCTCCCATTTCTCTGCTCTTCTTTGCAGCTAAACTTGGAAGAGTTGCTTATAGTCTCCTTGTCTCTCCTTCCTCCTTACGTACTCTTAGGAGCTCCCTCAGCATCTTTCCCTACTGCTGCACTAGAACTGTTGTCCTGGTTACCACGCCTCTCTTTTCCCTTCGCCCAGCCCAGCCCAGCAGCAGTCCCAGGCACAGCTGATCGCTTGCTCCTTGAAACTTTCTTCACTGAACCGAAGAGCCACCAACACTCCCACCTCTCCAGACACCTCACTGGTCTTTCCTCTGATCTCTAAATACTGGCGTCATCTGGGGGACATTCTTCCCACCTCTCTGTCTGCGTTCGCTCTCCAGGGGACCTTGTCCAGTCCCATGCTTCAAATATCATTTTGAGTCTGAGGACTTAAACATTTCTGGGCTCTGCCTCTTGAATCACCTACAACTAACTACTCAGCACCTTGACCTGGATTCCTCCTGGGGACCTCAAAATTGAGCACATCAAAGTCAACTTGATTTTCCTCCAGCATGTGCACACAGACCAGACCTGCTCTTCCCGTGGTCTTCTGCCACTTAGTCAGCAGGATTATTATGGCTGCTCTGGGATCCTCCTGGACACCTCTGTCACCGCAGCCAGGCAGCAAGCACATGTCGTCAGCTCATCTCCAAAATATATCAAAAGTCTGTTCCCATCGCCTCCCCCTGCCACCCTAGTCCCCTCCACCCCTGCCACGCTACCCTTCTCCTGGAGAGAGTAGCTTTCTCATCTCCCTGCCTCCACCTTACATCACCGAGAGTTTTCTGTCTTCCCCATAGCATCTGGAGTGATTCTTGAATATAAGTCAGTTATTTCTGTTAGAACTTTCTGGTATCTCCCTGTTTCACTCAGAGTAAAGGCCAACAACCTACAAGGCCCTGTGTGAGTTGGTCTCTCTGATCTCATCTACGACTCTCTGCCTTCCTCCAGTCCCTCCCCCACCCACAGCCTTTTCAAATTCCTTGCTGTGCCTTGAACACATCTAACAAGTTCTTGACTCAGAACTTACACATCTGCTGTTTATCCAGAGGGCTTCCCTCCCCCAGATACTTGAGTGACTCACTTTCCTCAGGTCTCTGCTCAACTGTCACCTTACTAGTGACTCCTTCCCTGACCACCTGGGTTTCTCCCGGGCACCGAGACTCCCGCTCCTTTAATAATTTGATCAGGCTTGGGAGAGAGGATCTGACTTGAAAAAATTCTGATCACATGATTCTGGAAAATGTTCAGGCTTCTAAATATGTGGATTTAGTCAGGAAGGAGAGAGAGAATCATTCCATTCAAGAAAGACCACTAAGAATCTAACCTGGTAATATATTTAACAGTTTTCTTATTTCGGTTTTGAATCATGAGAAGTTGGAATCCACAACTAGTCTGAAATTCAGCATCAGCTACTCCAACACAATTTTAAGCACTACAATTTCTATAAGTAAAAATATGTGTATATATGTGCAACTAGACACAGAAAAGAATCCAAGCTTTATGTGACTCTTTGTTCATGTATATCTCCTCACTGGCTGGTGTGTTGCCTGGTTCATAGTAGGTACTCTATAAATATTAGCTGAATGAATGAAATGGATTCCAATCCAATACAGCTTGACAATTGAGGATGTTGTTTGTTGTTAATCATGATCCCCCTTGAATAATAGGAACGACCCTAACAGCAGCTGGTTTTCGCCCTCACCGCCCTGCTTCTGCTTCCCTGTGCTCTCCAGGTTCCAAAGAAGAGGACGAGAAGCCTTCAGCGCCCGCAGCCGAGCAGACAGCTGATCTTCAGGAGGTGGTTTGTCAGGATGTGCTTCCAGAACTAGTCATCCCTCCCCCTGCCTGTGAGCTGCAGGCAGAACCAGACGAGAAGCCAGAAGCAACAAACTGTGAGGTGAATGACCTGGAGGAAGAAGAGGAGGAAGAAGAGGAGGAAGATGAAGAATTGGAAGAAGAGGGAGAAGAAGAAGCTGACGTGCCAAATGAAAGTTCTGTGAAAGAGCCAGAAATACGGTGTGATGAGAAGCTGGAAGATTTATTAGAAGAACCAAAAAATATTTCAAAAGAAACTGTTGAAGACTCTCCAGAGGTAACACCTGTTAACAAAATCCCCAAAACTAAGGAGGAGGCTAATGGTGATGTATTTGAAACATTGATGTTTCCATGTCAGCATTGTGAAAGGAAGTTTACAACCAAACAGGGGCTTGAGCGTCACATGCATATCCATATATCTACAGTCAGCCATGCTTTCAAATGCAAGTACTGTGGGAAAGCATTCGGCACACAGATTAACAGGCGGAGGCATGAGCGTCGTCACGAGGTGGGGTTAAAGCGAAAACCCAGCCTAACACTACAGCCATCGGAAGACCCAGCTGATGGCAAAATATCTGGAGACAGCGCTACCCCGAAAGATGACTCGAACCCTCCTAATCTTGGGCAAGACTGTCTGCTCTTGAGTTCAGAGAAAGCTTCCCAAGAAACAGTAAATTCTTCTGTTGTAGAAGAGAATGGAGAAGTTAAAGAGCTTCATCCATGCAAATACTGTAAAAAGGTTTTTGGAACTCATACTAACATGAGGCGCCATCAGCGGAGAGTTCACGAACGCCACCTGATCCCCAAAGGCGTGCGGAGAAAAGGAGGCCTCCTGGAAGAGCCGCAGCCGCCCGCCGAGCAGGCCCAGCCTGTCCAGAATGTCTACGTACCGAGCACAGAGCCAGAGGAGGAAGGGGAGGGAGATGACGTGTACATCATGGATATTTCCAACAATATCTCTGAAAACTTAAATTACTATATCGATGGTAAAATTCAAACCAGCAGCAGCACCAGTAACTGCGATGTGATCGAGATGGAATCCAGCCCGGCAGACCTGTACGGTATAAATTGCCTGCTCACTCCAGTCACGGTGGAAATCACTCAAAATATAAAGACCACGCAGGTGCCCATAACAGATGATCTTCCTAAAGAGCCTTCCAGCAGCACAAACAGTGAGTCCAAGAAACGGAGAACTGCCAGTCCTCCCGTGTTACCCAAAATTAAAGCAGAAGCAGAGCCTGAGCCTGCAGCCCCCTCGTGCTCCCTAAGCCTGCCCCTGAGCATATCCACCACAGAGGCGGTGTCTTTCCACAAAGAGAAGGGCGTGTATTTGTCATCCAAGCTCAAGCAGCTCCTTCAAACCCAGGATAAACTCACTCCTCCTGCGGGGATGTCGGCCGCTGAGATCCCGAAGTTAGGTCCTGTCTGTGTGTCCGCTCCTGCATCGATGCTGCCCGTGACCGCGAGCAGGTTTAAGCGGCGGACCAGCTCCCCTCCCAGTTCTCCCCAGCACAGTCCTGCCCTTCGAGATTTTGGAAAGCAAAGCGAAGGTAAAGCTGTGTGGACTGACGCGGTTCTGAGTTCCAAAAAGCCCAAATTAGAAAGTCACAGCAACTCCCCAGCGTGGAGTGTGTCTGGGCGAGACGAGAAGGAAGCCGTGAGCCCTCCATGCTTTGATGAATACAAGGTGTCCAAAGAGTGGGCAGCCAGCTCCACTTACAGCAATGTGTGCAACCAGCAGCCGCTGGATTTGTCCAGCGGGGTCAAGCTGAAGGCCGAGGGCGCAGCCAAGACTCCAGTCCAGTGGGAATCTGTGTTAGATCTCAGCGTGCATAAAAAGCCTTGTAGTGATTCGGAAGGCAAGGAATTCAAAGACAGTAACGTGGCGCAGCCAGCGTGCAGTGCTGTCAAGAAAAAGAAACCGACCACCTGCATGCTGCAGAAGGTTCTTCTCAATGAATACAACGGCATCGGTGTACCCATTGAAAGCACGTCAGATGTGACAAGGAGCCCGAGTCCTTGTAAATCTTTAGATCCCCAAGCTGAACCTGACCTTGGCCCCGACGCTAGCTTATCTGCTCCTGCTATGGAGTCCCCACCTGACGTTTCTCCTTCATCTCCTGCCCTGCAGACACCCTCCCTTTCTTCTGGGCAGCTGCCTCCTCTCTTGATGCCAACACATCCCTCGTCCCCTCCGCCCTGCCCTCCTGTGTTGACTGTTGCCACACCGCCGCCTCCACTGCTTCCTACCATACCTCTTCCAGCCCCCTCTTCTAGGGCGTCTCCTCACCCGTGTCCCTCCCCGCTCTCAAATGCTACGGCACAGTCCCCACTTCCAATTCTCTCTCCTACGGTGTCTCCCTCGCCATCCCCCATTCCTTCCGTGGAGCCTCTCATGTCGGCTGCCTCGCCGGGGCCTCCTACACTTTCATCATCATCTTCTTCATCATCTTCATCTTCATTCTCTTCTTCATCTTCCTCTTCTTCCCCCTCCCCCCCTCCTCTCTCCGCAGTATCATCCGTCGTCTCCTCTGGGGATAATCTGGAAGCCTCTCTCCCCATGATATCTTTCAAACAGGAGGAATTAGAGAACGAAGATATGAAACCCAGGGAAGAATCCCAGTCTGCAGTTGAACAGGATATGGTTCAGGAAACATTCAACAAAAACTTTGTCTGCAATGTCTGTGAATCACCTTTTCTTTCCATTAAAGATCTAACCAAACATTTATCTGTTCATGCTGAAGAATGGCCCTTCAAATGTGAATTTTGTGTGCAGCTTTTTAAGGCTAAAACTGATTTGTCAGAACATCGCTTTTTGCTTCATGGAGTTGGGAATATCTTTGTGTGTTCCGTTTGTAAAAAAGAGTTTGCTTTTTTGTGCAATTTGCAGCAGCACCAGCGAGATCTCCACCCAGATAAGGTGTGCACACACCACGAGTTCGAAAGTGGCACTCTGAGGCCGCAGAACTTCACAGACCCCAGCAAGGCCCATGTGGAGCATATGCAGAGTTTGCCAGAAGACCCTTTAGAAACATCGAAAGAGGAAGAGGAGTTAAACGATTCTTCCGAAGAGCTTTACACGACCATAAAAATAATGGCTTCTGGAATAAAGACAAAAGATCCAGATGTTCGATTGGGTCTCAATCAACATTACCCAAGCTTTAAACCACCTCCATTTCAGTACCATCACCGAAACCCCATGGGTATTGGGGTGACGGCCACCAATTTCACTACCCACAACATTCCACAGACTTTTAGCACTGCCATTCGCTGTACAAAGTGTGGCAAAGGTGTAGACAACATGCCTGAGTTACACAAACATATCCTGGCATGTGCTTCTGCTAGCGACAAGAAGAGGTACACCCCCAAGAAAAATCCAGTACCGCTGAAACAAACTGTGCAACCCAAAAACGGTGTGGTGGTTTTGGATAACTCTGGGAAGAACACCTTCAGGCGGATGGGACAACCCAAAAGACTGAACTTCAGTGTCGAGCTCAGCAAAGTGTCCCCAAATAAGCTCAAATTAAATGCATTGAAGAAAAAAAACCAGCTTGTCCAGAGAGCAATCTTGCAAAAAAACAAATCTGCCAAGCAGAAGGTCGAGTTAAAAAATGCTTCGGAGTCCTCCTCGCACATCTGCCCGTACTGTAACAGGGAGTTCACATACATTGGCAGCCTCAATAAGCACGCTGCTTTTAGCTGTCCCAAAAAACCGCTTTCTCCTTCCAAAAAAAAAGTTTCCCACTCATCCAAGAAAGGTGGGCACTCATCACCTGCAAGCAGTGACAAAAGCAGCAGCAACAGCCACCGCAGAAGGACAGCGGATGCTGAGATTAAAATGCAGAGCACGCAGGCTCCTTTGGGCAAGACCAGAGCTCGCAGCTCAGGCCCCGCCCAGATGGTACTGCCCTCCTCATCCTTCCGGTCCAAGCAGAATGTCAAATTTGCAGCTTCGGTGAAGTCCAAAAAACCAAGCTCTTCTTTAAGGAACTCGAGCCCCATAAGAATGGCCAAAATAACGCATGCCGAAGGGAAAAAACCCAAAGCTGTGGCCAAGAACCATTCTGCTCAGCTCTCGAGCAAGACATCCCGGAGCCTGCACGTGAGGGTACAGAAAAGCAAAGCCGTCCTACAGAGCAAATCCGCCCTGGCCAGTAAGAAAAGAACAGACCGGTTCAATGTAAAATCGAGAGAGCGGAGCGGAGGGCCAATCACCCGGAGCCTCCAGCTGGCAGCTGCTGCCGACCTGAGTGAAAGCAGGAGGGAGGACAGCAGTGGCAAGCAGGAGCTGAAGGACTTCAGGTAAGCCATGGCTCCCGGGGCGGAGGGGTGCGGAGCTCAGGAGCGTGGGGGCGGGAAGGACGGTTGGAAGGAAACAGTATACTTGACCAATGGCTGTTATTTTTCTTTTTCCTGTATAATTTTGATATAAGCACTGAAAGGAAGTGGCTGTTGCTTAAGTTGTAGGCATGTAAAGAAGGGTTACTGCTCTGGCTGCCGCAGAGATGGATACCACCTCGCTTTGATCTCAGACCTAGACTCACAGCTGTGCCATCACCCGTAGGGCCAGCTGTGAAGTGAATTTGAAACTATGGAAAGCTCTCAGAAGCACCCTCACATAAGGATAGGCAAAATTCTCCTAAACTTTGTTCCTATTCTGGGTAATGGCTCAGTGTCAGTCGTATTATTTCTGGATCATAGATCATTTTCTTCTGTTACAGTGGATTGCTAAGGTCATTAAAACCACATTGCCATCTTTACTATTTCTGTGACTCAAGCATAGTTACAGTAAATGAGAATGCTCCTATTATCCTTACTTTCTTCTGTTGTTTTTATGTAAAAACTTGCCTCATTGGTGAAAGCAAAATACACCATAAGCGCTTTACAGCGCTCTGAGTTCCCCACCCCCTCCAGTGTGCAGGCGCAGGGCGATGGGCGGCGGCCCCAAAGGGGAAGGCGCTGGGAGAGCGCCCGGAACGCGGGGGGCTGGGTCGCCTGGGGCCTGCCGGCACCTGTCGAAACCCAGGGCGAGTCAGCCCAGCCCGTTGATGCCTTTGTTTCCCAGTAGTGCTGTGAGAATTCACCTTAGATCGGAGGGGATGTCACTGTTGATTTGTGTTCTTCCTCTATTAAGAAGTGTTCTTAGTGCCACCAGAACATAGGGCAATACTTAAGTCTGTTACATTGACTTCTCAAACTTTCCAAGTGACTTAAATAACCTTGGTTGATGTACTTTCTTGGAATTCCTGTTTGCTGAAAATTGCCCACAGGTCAGGCTTGCGAAATACTCATCATCAGAATTTCTGCAAAATACTTTACAGTCGCGGGCATTTAGAGGGAGCTGCCTGACTCTAGGCTTTCCTGGCTGTAGCTTCAGTGTCCGAAAGCTCTTTGGTGTTTCAGGCAAAGAGAATCAGAGTTACCTGGGGAGGAGACCACCATCCTGGGGAGGCCGTGAGGACTCAGAGGTGCCGTTACGGGCGCACAGCTGCTGAGGTGGAGTTCTGGGTGCTGCTGTGCCTGAAGTCATGGCTAAAGAAAGTGGGAGAGAAGAGTCGTTAGCCAAGGCTGATTGGAATGATTCACTTTCAGAGTAAAGGGTCACAGTTGTAAAAAGCTACTGCAAAAATGTACTGAATAATTAGTCATGAGAGGTCTTACTCAGCATCTCGGTCTCCGGCCATGGGATATGCATAAGGACCTGTCTGTTAGCCCTTAGGGCGGCCTGCTTGTAGAAGTTTCCTGGTTCCTGTTTGTGCTCAGTCTGTGTCCTGGGAGTTCCACAGCAGTGGGATGCTCTTGAATTCAAGTTCCTTTTCAAGGTTAAAGAGCCAGAATATGCCATCATTTTTACAGATTGCACTTTATAACGTCTCCCAGGTGTTTGATGCTTTAGAATGTATTATGTTTAATCCCCTTTTGTCTCCAATATTGTATGAAAGAATCATTTTTGTATGGCATCCTGTTTATACAGTACAAGGGTAAAGTTGGTATGAAAAATTAAAATATTGTAAAGAAAAGTTCTGAGTAACTGTACATTTAGGAAGCTTGTTCAGTTAGCCTCTCGCTCACCCAGTGCTCTTTGAAGAACCCTTAAGACCGCAGGGACCAAAGTGCCTGGTAAAGTTGTGTTTCTGTTTACTCCAGTTAATCTTAATGACTTTGGTTTGTTTGATAGTTAACCAAGGGTTATGTTGCTGGAATGAAATTTGGCCTAAAAGGAAACACAGAAGCAGATAAGAAGAAAACAGCATTGTTCTAACTGGCAGGTGGCGGCAGCAGGCGTCTGCAGGGGCTGTCCCGCTTTGTATGAGTCGCTAGAGCTGTGCTGTGGACCCATCAGAAGGACGTGTGTCTTACACAGGGGTCCGCGGACAAGGGACGGAACATTTGTGAAGTACAGGACATCATATTCTGATAACCCAGACACAAGAGTGGCTGTTTCTTCAGGGAGTCTGTGCGGTCTTTTTAGTACCTTGTAGTGCCTTTGGTGTAAAGCCGGGGCTCCTGACCTCAGGCCTGGGGAGCTTTACGAGAGCCGAGAGCGCCCGTCTCATCCGTGGCGCGTGCTTGTGTGACTCTGGCAAAGAGCTGTTTGAACCCTAGTCGTCTGCCCTCTCGGTCTATTTTTACTTGTAAATTTTATTCAGGGATGATTCCATGGCGCGTGGTTAGAAACACTCGCTTTCCCTCTGTTTTCAGTGAGTTCGCTTTGTGTGCCCCGTTGTGTGTTCAGGGACTCACCGTAGTACCACCAGGCATCCTTTTCCTGTGTGTTTCATCATCACGGCCTGTGGTTAAGAGCCAGCCCCCAATACTCGGGCATTCTCCATCAGAGGCCAGTTCAGGACGCCCCCGTTGGTCAGGCACATACGTGCAGTCAGCCATGGGCGCGAGGTCAGAGTTTTCCATTTCACACAGAGGACCCAGCAGAATTGGCTGGGTGGTCATTTCCAGGAGCACAAGCTATTGTGCTGGTCAGGGTGTAAGAAAGACAGGGACCCTAGATCCTTTTCTGAGGACAGAGCAGCAGGGAAACTGGGCACACCGCCCATCTGTAGAGCCTCCATTTTTAGGCCTTAATCCGGCGCCTCCGGGCCGGGCTCGCCGGCCACCGTGAGCGGTCGGAGCCAACCCGTGGCTCGCTGCGGGGACCGGGTTTGGGCTCTTGCCGAGGCCTCGCTTCCATGGGCTGGGAGACCGAAAGACAAGGAGAGAGATGCGTTCTCTGCTTCCCTCTTACTTGTCTCTGGTCTTTGTAAATCCCAAGGTATTTTTACACTTTTTAGTGCTCCTTTTAGGGCAACTCTTTTTTAAAAAGCTATTTTTCCATTTCAGCCAGTCAAAAACACCCTAAAGATGGAGAAGCAAAATGAAATTCCAAGTTTCCCCATTTGTCATGAATTATTAAAAAAAAAAAATGATGTCAATTTCCTCACATATCCATCTCTGCCACGCCACTCCGAGTAGGGCTGGGCCTTTGCCAGCACGTGCCTTTCGGGCAGGACCCCGGGCTCCTGCTTCCCTCCAGTCATTCTGTTGCTGTCTTAGTAACATCGGTCATGTGGTCTGCTCACCTTCTCTCTAACATGGTCAGTTCGTGTAAGGTTGTGTTACATTGTCATTTATCTTCAGTTTTCTTATTTTCTAGGAACTTCCTGTAGAAAAGCCCCTCACACAAACCAAACCTTAATTGACTAAATAAAGATAATGCATGCTCAACTTAGGATAAGCACTACGACAAAGGACACGAAATCTACCACGCTTGCAAGACCAGTTGAAGCTGACTCAAACCCTAACACACAGCCGATTGCCGGCAGGCTTCTTGTTGCCCTGGCTAGAGTCAGGCATCCGCTGCTTCGCTGGTGCCCAACACCCGTGCTGGGCCCCCGGGTGATTGAGATGCAAGAGGGCGCCGTGAGACGGGCTCGCTGAACGGGCTCGTCCTCATGGGACTGGTAACTCACGTGTGAGTGTGGCCCTGGTTTTTGGCACATCGCAGAGAAAGGAATGATTTGAACTTAACCTTGCAAAGCAAGTTCTCTGTTTTATCAGTAGATTGTTGTAGATTTCAGGGACGACAAATTCTAATGCACTCTTTTTAAGATGTTTCGGTCATACACCAGCTCTTGATGCCTTTCTTTTAAATTAATTATAGACAGAGGGAGGCGTTGAGCTCCTCGCTCAGCCTGCTTTTTTATCACAAGCAGATTGCCAGCATAACGGAGAGGGAGCCAGATTGGGTATGGACTCCTTTTTTACGCCTCTTCCAGTTTCATGTGCATATATCCAGATGGACATCCTCTCAAGTAATTATCTGGCACTAATTTATAACTATTATATTATCGGAGACTATGTAGCAATATACCAATGCCCAGGATGCATCACAGGCCTATAAAGATGTATGTCGACTTGTAAGTAATAATGAGTATACGTACCAGGTTTTACACTTCAGTCTCTCATAGAGGTTGAAAGATGACAGATTCGCCTCTCCCTGAGTGTACCCTTCTCCCTGCGTCATACGCTTTCACCCTGATTAATGACTGAGTTGGTGGGAAATGGCTAGGTTACTCATGGTTTTATTTTTGTTGTTGCTGTTCTCAACTTTAAAAGTAATCTACCTCTTAAAATTTGTAGTTTAATACTTGTTTGGTGAATTTGTGCCACTTTAACCCTTTCACTATCATTCCCATTTTGTTACATTTCTGTTCTGGGGACTTTATGTTGAAATATTGTGTAAAGCATTTGTAGCAGTTAAAAAATAAAATATTTAAAATTATTTAAATTGTTTTGGACGCTTCAATTGTATTATATGTGATTTACATTTTACATTTTTTGTTTGAGTTGTTAATCTGGAGAGTGTTCTTGTACTGGAGTTTACTGTTAGTTATTTTATTGTTTCTTGTTGGAGAGTTATGATATAAAAGACTATTCTAATGAAAACATTAAAATTTACAATTTGACATACAAAAGGGGTTGTCCGTTGATTTTCACCAACGTAGCCTTTTCAGAGAGAAAGAGCTGCTGTCCACTGTTCTCCCCTCCCGGCACGAGCCTCACCGTTTGAGCTTGTCAGATGTACAAAAGTTTTTTAATGCTGTTGCTAGCAAGCACTTACTAAATAGGGGAAAATCTAAATGATACGTTTTATATCATTGTAAGCAATAAAAACTTTCTAAAAGCTTGTGAGAGGACTGCATTTTGTACATGGTCGGGAGTAGTCAAGGACAAAAAATGCAGCGGCGCGGAGGGAGAGCGCTCAGAGCCTGTGCTTCGCTGGGCCTGTGGCGGTCCGCCCCACG